GGAATAAAAGTGTGGGATTTGTATTTATACGGATGGTGCGTCATAGTTGGGTCAAAATCGGACTTTCAGAAAGAAGTAAAAGAGTTCCCTAATGGAGGGGAATCCACTGCATGATTCACCAGTATGCTCTCACAAGCAAGACTCTTCCGACTCCATTGTTAATAAAAGTCGTAAATTTGTTAAAATCTGGAGCCTTAAACACCCATCTGTTTCAAGATCTGCCCAAAGACATGAATAAAGATCACGAGGTTCTACACTACAGTACGCTGGCTGTCAATAGGAAACGTGAATCGTGGTTTTGAATTGAAAGATGAAATCAAGTTGTTCTTGGTAGTAGGGCCTACAAAGGAAACAAGACGTTTTGATATACTTTAACAACAAAGAGTGGTTGGAGAGAGTATCATACCTAGCAGATATATTCGAACATCAACATAAGGTTAACCTGAAAATGGACGAATAGTATCTCTTAATGGTTATTTCTTGGCATTTTTAAAAATCAAAACTGCTAATTTGGCGAAGAAAAATACATATTGGAAATATTACAATGTTTGAGAAACTCTGCAGTCTGATAGATGAATCTGATTGTGAGATAAATACAAATTTGAAAAAGGATTCTGGGCATCTTAGTCCAGCATTCCCGATGATTTACAAGATGAATTCTTAAATTTGCAGAATTATTCCGCGTCAACACTTCTCCAATTAAAAACAAAACATAGAAATAAATTAAATGCTGAAAATGACAAGAGGTTGGCGTTAACAAAAACGCAACCGCGAATTTTGAGACTAGTTAATACAGGGGCGTAGCGAGGAGGGGGGGGGCGGGGGGGGGGGGTGCGGACCGCACCGGGTGACACCATTTAGGGGGGTGACACCAAGACAAAAAATAGCAAGTTATATAGAGAAAAACTTGAGGGGGGGTGCAAATCGAAAGTTTGAGGGGGGGGGGGGGGGTGCAAATCGAAAACTTGAGGGGGGGGGGGTGCAAATCGAAAGTTTGAGGGGGGGGGTGCAAATAGAAAATTTGAAAGTTCGTCCCCGTGAAGGGTCGCTACGCCTCTAGGGGGTTGACACCATTAAGTGCCGCACCGGGTGACACCCGACCTCGCTACGCCACTGAGTTAATATAATGTAATTTCACTCCTCGTATTAAAACTGATATCAGGAATAATTGATATTGAAAGTCTACTGGAAAATCGTATTTTAGTTCTTATTAATTTCCTAACTAATTTCGACTTTTTAATTCTTTGGGGGTCCCGGGTCACTTACTTTTTATAAAAGGGGGTCGCCACTCGAAAAAGTTTGGGAACCACTGGAATAGGTGCTTGTTGGGAGTTGGGGTGGGTAGAACTGGTAGAAGAGAGGGGGTAGGGGGAGACAAGAAGTCAAGGGTTAAATTTTGGGTTAGGCTAAGGTTAGCATTCTATTAGGGGTCGGCCATAAATGACATGACTGTATTTTAGCCCCCCCCCCCCCCATTTAAGTACGACCCTTAAATGAATTGTAGACATATGCGATACACACTCACATAGACAGACTCACAAACGACATTTAGACTTTCTGACTCAGCTATTCATATTTAGGATATCTGTAAAAATTTTTTACGAAGCAGGCATTGTCATTTATATTACAATCAAATTAGAAATTAAATAATTACTTGTCAAACCAGCGAGATTAATTTCAAACAGACCTAGAATAATTGTAGGTAAAAAAAAACAACTACTTGATGTAAGGCAGGCAAGCGATAAAAAATTAAACCATGTAGTGTAAATACATGAGTTAACCACCTTGACAACATGAGTTGTATGGACATATTTTGATGAGGCAAATGAGATATTTGCTGTTGTGTGTTTGGTGTTGAGGCGGGAATGAGACTTGCTGCATTGTTAGTTCATAATACTAGTGTAACACATTCCAAGGGGGTAGTAGGCCGGTAAAAATCCATATGGCTTTAAACAGTATTCTTCATTCACTCCCTATGTTTTTAATTAAAAATAAACTTTTAAAATTACGATAATATATATATATATATATATATATATATATATATATATATATATATATATATATATATATATATATATATATATATACACACGCAAAAAAACAAGAATAAAACGAACACGGGAAACCATTGCACATATCAAGCTTCATATCAACTGTTTCATATACTTTTTACCGATTGCCTGATATGATGTTACACTTTTCACAATAAGTGTTTTTTATTTATTTTTTGTTAGTTTAAGCCAGAAATGAGTTGGCCCTATTTCTGTGTGGTTTGGTGATCATTATAATTATATATCATTATATCATACTAGGCATATTGCCTAGCTTCGCTTAGGTTTTCAAAAACATTGAGAATTTGAATATTTAATTATTTAGTGACGGCTGAGGTGTGGAGTGCTTAAATTTAATCAGTAATGCTAAAATTAGAGAAAATGTTTTTTTTTTTTTTTTTTTTTTTTTTTTTTTTTTTTTTTTTTTAACAGATTATATTTTTATTTTGTTTTACAAAGCAAACAACAAAATATTTTAGACAAATTTCGACAGTTTAAAAAATCATTTGTGATTAACAATTACTTCAATACATAGAAAAACATCCATTCTTAAAGCCCAAATAAAGCAATTTAAGTTAAATAATGTTAAATGAGTGACAACTCTGATTCTAAATTTGGGGAGCAAGTTTAAGTTTAAAAAGTTTAAATGTATGTAAAATTCTTGGAACTATTATAAAAACCATTACAAAAATCAACACATTATAATCCCTTAGTTTTAGTATTGATAAAGTTTGTCTAATGTTTAAATAATTTAAATCACTAGCTGCCTATATTTACATTTGAATGTGTTGTATTAACATTAACATGTTTTAGCCCTCGTCGAGGGCTTTGAGTCAAATTGAAAAGTTTCCCTAAAGGCCAAGCCATTTAAATAAGATCATGCAAAAAATTAGCCAGATATACTGAGTTTAAGTACCCTAAAATCCACGTTAAAATGACCCTCTGTTTTTCCCATAAAATACAAAGCATATAGAGGGAAAATCAACTGGTCAGTTTTGACCCCTTTACGAAGTTTTCCCAGATATGCCGCGTTTTTTTCTGACACCCCTAGGTGTTCTCTTACCACCTCATAAACCTCAAGGGGGGTTGTCGGACGAAAGTTTTTTTCGTAAAAGAGCTCATATAAAGAGAATTTCACTCGCGGTCATGTTTTAGCCCTCGTTGAGGGCTTTGAGACAAACCGACATTTTTCCCTACCACCTCACAAAATTTCAAGGGGGGGGGGTCGTTAGACGAAAGTTTTATAGCCCATATAAGGCGCCGGTCAGTCGATGACAGTTTTGACCCATCTCCGTCGACTTTTCGACCAACCGTCACCGGCCCTCGTGTTCTATCGCCCCAAGGCACCATCGTGCCAAATTTTACGCGCCTGCAGCGCCGGGAAGTGCCCTAGCCGGCACCTGACCACTTTGCTATCCTAATATATAATGGAATTTATTTAAAAAACATATACTTTTACCAGTGTCCGCCCTACCCCCCGAAACGAAAATATCTAATGGCCCAAACCCCCCATCCCCCCCCCCCGGAGGAAAAATCTGGAAGAAACAGTTTAAGCTACATAGGAAGACGATATAATCAGTACAACATGTAGGCTATGTGCACTAACATATATTTGTATGTTTGATCAAAGACATTGTTTTTACGTAATACATAAAAGAAAAAAAAACAGGATAATTGTTGCAAGATTTGCATTTTGTAAGTTCGTCAAACTTATCCACATCTTGGCCGCCTTTCCATAGATCATGTGGGTGAATCTTCACTAAACCAATCCTCTACTGAATCATTTAACATTTGTGCTCAATGTAGTATGTTCCAACAACACAGTATATTGATTTATTTGTGCTTTTGTTTTCCCATTCTCGACTATCTTTCGCCCTGTGAATTTAATTTGTTGATGTTCGTAAAAAGAAGTTTTATTTAGAACAACTGATCATAGCACGCAGATCTATAAGAAGATCTATGTAGAAAGTGTGTTCACTAAATATTTTTGGACGAATCAACCATAAAATATTGTATGACAGTATGCGTCGGTAATGTAATTTCGTAGTTAGAAGTTGTGTGTATGTACTGTGCACAGCTTTACTTTTACTATATATTGATGTCAATTATTTACATTTGGAATTGAGGCAAGTCTCTTCAGTTTCTTAATGACTCTTCTATACTTTTAATATATCTAAATCAAGTGAAACTATTTTAAAACCGTCAAGAAAAGATTTGCATTTAAAGCGTATACTTTTTATGCAAAAATTGTTCTTAATGCCAGTTTATTCCTGTTATCTAATTTTTTTTTCTTTTTTTATCATACCGTCGGTGTAAACAGGTAAGGTCTTTCCGTGGTTGTGTTTAAATGTCGAGTTTTACTCATTTAAACCTGTTCTCTTCTTTCTGTTTTTGTTACTCTGCCTTGATGTGCTATAATGTATTCAATGACTTTTATATACCTATGTTTAAGAAATCTTGCATGAGTGTCTTCAAACCTTCTCAACTCCATCCCGTCGTATAGTCTAACGCTAGTTTAACAGAGGTAAAGCAATACCTCATGGAACAAAAATACATCCATTAAGGCACAGCTGCTTTTTTATTGTGGAAATTATAGACAAAAGACTATTCAAATGTATCCGTGTATATGTTCTCAGATTCAGATGCTTTTTTCTTAGTTATAAAAATAAACACAAAACTCTATACTTAAAAACAATTAATTTAAAAAATTAGAAATATTTTTACATGGTAAAGTAATGCATTATGAAACAAATGCAACGAGTCAATTGATAATGAGTGAGTGTAAAAATACAAGTAAGTTGACGTGATAATTAGGTTACACCAGAACATATAGAACCTTTACACTTTAAGAAGAACAGTGGAGTGAATAGATTTGTCTCATAAAAATAGGTCTGCTACACCAACTTAAAGCTATAGCTTTATTTAAAACATCTTCAGATACTTTGTTTACACTTGACGTACTTTCATCTCAACAAATTCTGCGATATCTCCATCACTTGATTGCCCAGGCCAGTATATTCCTATAGCAGAGGCTGTTGTACCCCAGACACCATTTAAATCTACATATTTACAGTTCGCATACCACCAACCACCTTTATGCTCTCTAGCACAATCTCTGCGGTCTATATCATTGTCCCTGTCGAATGTAGAAAACTTCATACCACGATGATTGTTTAGTTTGTCTTTAACATTTCCACTGAATGACGACATGTATATTTTATACGACGCTGCTTCGTTGTCTACCTTGAAAAAATCGTAATGAGCGTAGTACTTTATACCTTTTTTAGTCATGTCGATTCTCAGTTCATTGTACCCCTGTAATGTAGAACACATGTGACATATTAACCTTTTTAAAATATGGCCTTAGCTTGTATGTAAAGATTTTTTTCTAAGCTCACCATCAAAGTCAGGTTAGAGATCCAGTCATTCCCAAGCCAGAAATCTCCACCCAATGAACCAAATCCATGTTTATAGTCGTTCCAACCTCTCGTAAAATCGACATCACCCAAAACACGTCTCTGAAATAGGACATTTTGCAAGTTATTTATAAACTATTTTAAACCAAAATGGATAGATTAAATCTATAGAAGATCAAAGTTTTTCAAAAAGATTTTAGCGTAAAAAATTTACCAACCTGAAAAATGATCCAACCTCCACCGTCAGTTTTTGTGTCGCACAAAGCAAATTTATCTCGATCAAGTCTGACGGTCGTTCGTTCTGGTACATCAGTTTTGTCGTTCTTTTTACACTGTTTATAAATAGAAAGATGTTTGTTTTAACACATGACTAGAAACAAATGAACTTATCTCCAAAGACTGCCTTAAAATGTGGGTTTGTTTTTAAAAAACAATACTGATTCTGTAGTACACGCAAATGTTGTCGTATTTAAAAATTCTAATAATTTGTATAATGTATATTTGTTGATTTAATTCTAGCAGTGCTAATTCAAATAATATTTATGTCGAAATAAAACAATTACCTGATGTGTCATCAGTGACAACGCAGGATTGACGTTGTAATTGTTTTTCATCTCTTGTACAGTTGTGATTAAAGCTTCTATCATAAGGTTTGTTTGGTTGTTCCTTGTGATGGACTCGTTAAGCTTTACGTCCATTGCTCTAAGTTTGTCATTCACTGTTTGCATGTGTTCTGTAATATTATTTATCTTAGCATCAACCACGTCTATTGCTCTAATTCTGGCATTCACTGTTTGCATGTGTTTTGTGATGTTATTTATCTTAGCATCAACCACGTCTATTGCTCTAATTCTGGCATTCACTGTTTGCATGTGTTTTGTGATGTTATTTATCTTAGCATCAACCACGTCTATTGCTCTAATTCTGGCATTCACTGTTTGCATGTGTTTTGTGATGTTATTTATCTTAGCATCAACCACGTCTATTGCTCTAAGTTTGTCATTCACTGTTTGCATTTGTTCTGTGATGTTATTTATCTTAGCATCAAGCACGTCTATAGCATTAGTAGAGCTGATGTGTTTGTTACTGTTGTTTAACTCTGTAGATGATGGAATCTGAGCCGTGTGGTCACTGTACCCATCTCTACCAGAATGTGACATCTGTAAGGACATTGACACGTCTGCACCTTTTAGTTTTTCTGGATCTTCAAACGATTTCATAAAGTCGGCCATTGTGTCCACAGTTTTCACGTAGTTCAAAGTTTCAGCTTTCAAATTCAGCAACAAAACAGATTTCTTGATTTTCTCTCTTTCATAAGACGTTGTTCTGTTCTCTAGCATTCCCGTGTCTCCTGTCTTATTGGTAAAATATACTTGACATTTATACTGGTGTAAATTACAGGCTGAAGTATTGGAGAAAGACAAGACCAGTTCTCCGTGATGTTTGGATAGTTTGCCCTCAGATAATATCCCAGATATTTTATAATCGCGAACCTTTGAATCAGATCCTGAAATAGACGCCAACAAAATCTTCCCTTCAGATTCACTGATCCTATAGACTGACATGTTGACAAGAGCTGACATCTGAGTGTCTTCTGTTATGTTTTCTGTACACTGGAGTTGTGCACAAAATAAACTTTTCCCATGGTAAAAGTGTTCTCTGGTCATGCCAACTTTAAGGCCTAGAAAACAGTAGACAAAAGTTAATACGTAATATCTAATGCGTTCTATCAATTAAATATTTTGTACACATCAGAGAGATTATGTGATGTGTACAATTAATTAAATATTTTGTACACATCAGAGAGATTATGTGATGCCTTAAAATCTCCAGTCCGGGAACCGTCCTCGCCACTTTCCTGTTAGCAGTCGAGCTTGCCACAACCCAATTACGAAGTTCCTTCATTATTCAAACACAATCAAAACATTTCTTACTAAATATTGTTTAAAATCACTGTACTTTAGTTTAATTATTTAAAAAGAAAAAAATATGATCTGTGGGTTTCGAGGGTCATCCATAAAGGACGTCACGTTTATGTGTACATTACTCAAGATTTCGGATGTGAACCTTAGTGAAATAAAACTAGACGCACTAACCTTTCATAAGCTGAAGTCACAGTCATGTCGCTTGGTGTTTTTCAAATTTTATAATTTTGTTTAATAAACACAATTGTAATGCATAAGATCTGAAGTCCTTCTACCTTTGAGTAGTTAGCATAAAACATTTACCTTTAATTAAATTAAATAAAAGATGATTGTAAAGCTTAAATAATAAAGATAAATGAATTCAATCCATGCGTGTTTCGAATACACTTAATTTTTAAGAAGACAATTTAGTCAGCGGAATAGCCGTATTGTTTTGCTATGGTCATTAAAAGGGCAACAACCAAGTTAATATTTTCTGGATAATCAACCATAGCGATTTGTATCCCTTTATATACAGTTTCTATCTATCGAAATGATAAGTGTTACGTGGAGTTGAATTGTCACATCATTTCAAAATAACGTTTTTTATGGACGAGTCATATTAAATGTATTATGTTTATATTGTTATAATAATATTAAACTTCACAACAAGTTCTTAAGTAAAATAATTTATGTTTCATAATTTTAATATGCGACAAATGCACTATGTCTTACAAAAATGCATTAAAGTAATTAATTAAGAAGAAGGCTAATAAGGTAATGTTTTGATCGATTAACATCCTACTGTTCCGTTTTTAGATAATAATATTTTCGACTTGTCATATAGGCCTAATATAATTAAAGTGAGCTTACCAAACGACAGAAATAAGTTGACGGCTAACACAGCAATAAAATACAAAGCAGACATTTTAAACTATTGCAATAACATCAACTCAGCGGAATACGTTCTCGTAGCTGGTTTGTTTGTCAAATAGTCTCGTACTTATATACCGACCAGTTAAAAACATACATAAGTTGACAGGAGGTTGAAGGTCAACATGCACATGTAAACAGATATCACGTAATGAGTTTGCCGCTAGAGTTGACCAGAAATAAATGTCTGAAGTTGAAACCTGATATCAGATAATATCACATAGATTTTTTCGTGTAATCGTCTCCTTACATACATACTTGAATAAGAAAGTAGTCGCGTCAAGAGCCGACATGTAGTTACTAGCACGATACCGATTACTCTTTCATCGATACCAACATACTTATCAAAGTAACTAGAAACGGAAAGAGCAATTTGTCCCACTTAAGAAAACTAGAGTTCCCATCACGTATGACGTTTCCTAATTAATAATAATTAATTAACTGCTGACATGTAATATTAAGACATTTATTTTTAACCTTTAACATGTACTGTGGCAAAATACCGTAAAACCTCATATGATTGTCTTCATCTTAAAACATTGTTAAATTTGATAAATAACATGTATTTCTTATTGTAACATTTCAAATATATATTTATGAATATATTTAAACATTTAAAATATTATATTAATATATAAACCAAATTTTCACTTAAACAATTATGTAATATTTATGTATAATTTCGTATAATTTAGTGCATATTTTTAGGTTTACGACATATATTTTAAGCTCATGTGTTAACCTACACGGGATCAAGCCGGAGAAAACTCTCCTAAACTTTATCGTGTAGTCTAAACAAACTTTAATGGTTTTAATCGCACAATTTATATATATATATATATATATATATATATATATATATATATATATATATATATATATATATATATATATATATATATATATATATATATATATATATATATATATATATATATAGTTAAATTCTAATTTGGCGGGCAAACCTGGGATTCCAACGTCTAATGTGCTCATGACATCATGTTCTAAATTCATGATTTAAAAAATTAATATTGAAGGTGTTTTTAAACAAATTTCATTTTTCAAACTTACTGTAATAATTGTTGGCATGTCAGTCAAACAATTTTTTTCTAAAATGTATCACGTTCACAAAAAAATCTAATTATTTACATTTAGTTCTTTAGTTCCTAACCCTAACCCTAACTCTTGGATTCGATCTCACCCAAGTGTTCGGTAAGTCAGTCTCAGAGCTACGTCGGAGGTCCAGACACACACCCGACATATGATTCACGATAGGACTTTGTCAATGTTGACGCTAAAGCTATTTAGAAAGATTCGGTGAAGGCGTATATGAAACTGGCAGGGTTCGGGACCTCCAAAACAGATGCGTAGCGACCCTTCCCGGCGCCAGGGGACAAACTTTCAATTAGGCGCCCCCTCGAGAACAAACCTTCAATTTTCTATTTGCACCACCTCTCAAACTTTCCATTTGCAACCCCCCCATATATTTTTTATATTTATAATGACAAACTGCACCTAAAATGATATTTTAATTTGTTTTTCGAACCCATTTTGGCGCACCTTGCCCCCCCCCCCCCCTTCGCTTCGCCTCTGCTCCAAAAAATCAAGAGTAACTGGTTTAGAGTGTAGTTTGTATAAGGTGCAAGCTTATTTTGTCTACTTTTGGTTGTGTCAATTTCGATAATAGTGTATTATAGTTTTAAACTATCAGTTAGTTTGAACATAGTGATAAAACATCACCTGTCATGTCGTGTTGTACCATTTTTTTTTTTACATCGTTTAGTAGGTCTAGTGATCTTAAATATATGAAAATGGTAGTATTAGTACTTGTTATGAAACAAGCAATAAAAAATGACCTATTCAATATACTTATGTTTTAAGCTCTTAAAGTTTCGGCAAGAGTATCGTCTTCCGCCCACTCTCTCCAACCGTATGCTATTTTACTGGTCGGATAGCGATTCAAGAATCCGTGATATTTATTTCGGGGTCGTCCATAAATGACGTCACACTTGTGGTGGGGAGGGGGGGGGGGGCGTAAATTTGTGACGGTGTGTGATGAGGTGGAGGGGGGGGGGGGATTCAGATGGTGCGACGTCACACTTTTGCATTATAATAAAGCAATGCTAGAAAATTAGTTTTAGACGTTATTTTGCGCTCTAAAAACGGTTTTAATAAAATGTATTAGGAATCGATTAAATACTCTATTTTGACAGAGTTCAGACAGGATTTTGTAAAAATATCGATGTTTAAAAAAAAATCAACTACAAATTTGAGGGGGGTTGTAGGCTGAGGTGTGACGTCATTTTAGAATGGGGGGGGGGGGGGGGTCTGGCTTTTTGTGGCGACGTGTGACGGAGGGAGGGGGAGGTGAAAATCGTCAAAAAAAGCGTGACGTCATTTATGGATGACCCCTTCTCTTTAATACAGTGATCCAGGCAGATGTGATGCAATCAAGTAAAAGTATCCGATCTCTAACGTTTAAGTTGAGAGAATCGTAGAATCTTACAAAGAACTAGTTAAAAAAAACTGGCTGGTGAAATTGTATATTACGCGTTAATACAATCGGTTTCTTTTCTAAGTGTTAAAAGAGTTATCTACTCACCAATCCATTAAAAATTGCGCTTTTTGTTCGCGAAAAAATTTAAGCCCACCCCCACCCCACCCACACATACACATTCACCTCCCAACCATCTTGGACAAAGTTTGTAGAGCGGGTTTTAACGTAACTAACTTTCTAACTTTAAAAAAATGTTACACTATTGTACAATGCACTCTAGTACAGTTAGTTTCTTTTTTAAGTGCTAAAGGTTTTTATTAAAATCCAATGTAATTTTGAGATTTTAGTTACCCTAAAGCGCAGCCCCCCCCCCCTTACACCATCTTGATAAAAGTCACTAACGTATTTTACGGTTATACATACGTACAATACGTTTTAATACAATTGGTTGTATTTATAAGTGGTAACGTTTATCGACTCAACAATCTAATGTAAATTCTTCCGATTTTAATCTTTAAAAAGCCCCCCCCCCTCATCTAGGAAAAGCGGGAAAGCGGTTTTGCCGGTCACTGTTTCTTAAGAGTATATGTTTTACATTTAAAAGTTAGAAAACAGTGAAATTTGTATAAAGGCGTGTAACCATTACATTTCCTAACTTAGACTGTTTATAATTCAAAACTGCAGCATAAAATCAGCTTAAACAAAATTTCCGCCCCTTTTGACACCCCCTTAGGTTCGGCGCCCGGGGCTGCCCCCCCCCCCCCCTAGCTAAGCCTCTGCTACAGGGCACACTTTAGGTAAACAATAACCTATTATGACAGGCCTCCCGTATAAAAAATGGCTGAATTTAGCCTGACAACTCAAGCAAAAACTACACTTGTGATTTAAGATCAATCTGTATGTGGTTGACGCTCTATATACAGCAGGGATAACACAAACCACAGATGTAAATGCGCTAAAGGGGACAGACGATATGGCAAAAAGCGCCTCGCACATAGGCTGTACATATACTTGCGATAAGTAAGCCAAGAAGTAGGCTGTACATATACTTGCGATAAGTAAGCCAAGAAGTAGGCTGTACATATACTTGTGATAAGTAAGCAAAGAAGTAGGCTGTACATATACTTGTGATAAGTAAGCCAAGAAGTAGGCTGTACATATACTTGCGATAAGTAAGCAAAGAAGTAGGCTGTACATATACTTGTGATAAGTAAGCCAAGTTAGGCTGTACATATACTTGCGATAAGTAAGCCAAGAAGTAGGCTGTACATATACTTGTGATAAGTAAGCCAAGTTAGGCTGTACATATACTTGCGATAAGTAAGCCAAGAAGTAGGCTGTACATATACTTGTGATAAGTAAGCCAAGTTAGGCTGTACATATACTTGCGATAAGTAAGCCAAGAAGTAGGCTGTACATATACTTGTGATAAGTAAGCCAAGAAGTAGGCTGTACATATACTTGTGATAAGTAAGCCAAGTTAGGCTGTACATATACTTGCGATAAGTAAGCCAAGAAGTAGGCTGTACATATACTTGTGATAAGTAAGCCAAGTTAGGCTGTACATATACTTGCGATAAGTAAGCCAAGAAGTAGGCTGTACATATACTTGTGATAAGTAAGCCAAGTTAGGCTGTACATATACTTGCGATAAGTAAGCCAAGAAGTAGGCTGTACATATACTTGTGATAAGTAAGCCAAGTTAGGCTGTACATATACTTGCGATAAGTAAGCCAAGAAGTAGGCTGTACATATACTTGTGATAAGTAAGCCAAGTTAGGCTGTACATATATTGGCGATAAGTAAGCCAAGAAGTAGGCTGTACATATACTTGCGATAAGTAAGCCAAGAAGTAGGCTGTACATATACTTGTGATAAGTAAGCAAAGAAGTAGGCTGTACATATACTTGCGATAAGTAAGCCAAGAAGTAGGCTGTACATATACTTGCGATAAGTAAGCCAAGAAGTAGGCTGTACATATACTTGTGATAAGTAAGCAAAGAAGTAGGCTGTACATATACTTGCGATAAGTAAGCCAAGAAGTAGGCTGTACATATACTTGCGATAAGTAAGCAAAGAAGTAGGCTGTACATATACTTGTGATAAGTAAGCCAAGTTAGGCTGTACATATACTTGCGATAAGTAAGCCAAGAAGTAGGCTGTACATATACTTGTGATAAGTAAGCCAAGTTAGGCTGTACATATACTTGCGATAAGTAAGCCAAGAAGTAGGCTGTACATATACTTGTGATAAGTAAGCCAAGTTAGGCTGTACATATACTTGCGATAAGTAAGCCAAGAAGTAGGCTGTACATATACTTGTGATAAGTAAGCCAAGTTAGGCTGTACATATACTTGCGATAAGTAAGCCAAGAAGTAGGCTGTACATATACTTGTGATAAGTAAGCCAAGTTAGGCTGTACATATACTTGCGATAAGTAAGCCAAGAAGTAGGCTGTACATATACTTGTGATAAGTAAGCCAAGTTAGGCTGTACATATACTTGCGATAAGTAAGCCAAGAAGTAGGCTGTACATATACTTGTGATAAGTAAGCCAAGTTAGGCTGTACATATACTTGCGATAAGTAAGCCAAGAAGTAGGCTGTACATATACTTGCGATAAGTAAGCCAAGAAGTAGGCTGTACATATACTTGTGATAAGTAAGCCAAGTTAGGCTGTACATATACTTGCGATAAGTAAGCCAAGAAGTAGGCTGTACATATACTTGTGATAAGTAAGCCAAGTTAGGCTGTACATATACTTGCGATAAGTAAGCCAAGAAGTAGGCTGTACATATACTTGTGATAAGTAAGCCAAGTTAGGCTGTACATATACTTGCGATAAGTAAGCCAAGAAGTAGGCTGTACATATACTTGTGATAAGTTATTAAAAATGTGATATTTAGAGTACATAACATGACAGTATTGAATTCTTTGATTCATATTTTCAGTTTGTGTTTGCTGTTGTTGTTGATTGTTTTTTGTGCTCCCCACCCCCCCCCCCCCTCCCCCTGCGTACTCTACTGGTTTGCAGGTTTACGTCATGTTGTCACCCCCTCCCCTTCCATCCTTGTCGGAATTGGCTTTTAATTAAAAGGAATTTTTAACTAAAATGATCGTTTTTTTCAAAAAGATAAATTTCAAATTGACCTAGAAAAAATGTAGGTAAAAGAAAAAAAACTACTTTATGTAAGGGAGGTAAGCGATAAAAAATTAAACCATGTAGTGTAAATACATGAGTTAACCACCATGACAAAATGAGTTGTATGGACATATTGTGATGCCATGACAAAATGAGTTGTATGGACATATTGTGATGAGACAAATGATATCTTTGCTGTTGTGTGTTGGGTGTTGGGGCGGGAATGAGAATTGCTGTATTGTTAGTTCATAATACTTGTGTAACACATTTTAAAGGGGTAGCAGACCGGCGAAAAACAATATGGCTTTAAACAGTATTCTTCATTCACTCCCTATGTTTTTAATTAAATATAAACTTTTAAAATTACGATAGTATATATATATATATATATATATATATATATATATATATATATATATATATATATATATATATATATATATAAATATATATATATATATATATATATATATATATATATATATATAAACACGCAAAAAAACAAGAATAAAACGAACACGGGAAACCATTGCACATATCAAGCTTTATATCAACTGTTTCATATACTTTTTACCGATTGCTTGATATGATGTTACACTTTTCACAATAAGTGTTTTTTATTTATTTTTTGTTAGTTTAAGCCAGAAATGAGTTGGCCCTATTTCTGTGTGGTTTGGTGATCATTATAATTATATCATTATATCATACTAGGCATACTGCCTAGCTTCGATTATGTTTTCAAAAACATTTGAGAATTCGAATATTTAATTATTTATTGACGGCTGAGGTGTGGAATGCTTAAATTTAATCAGTAATGCTAAATTTAGAGAATTTTTTTTTTTTTTTTTTTTTTTTTTTTTAACAGATTATAATTTTATTTTGTTTTACAAAGCAAACAACAAAATATTTTAGACACATTTCGACAGTTTAAAAAATCATTTGTGATTAACAATTACTTCAATACATAGAAAAACATCCATTCTTAGAGCCCAAATAAAGAAATTTAAGTTAAATAATGTTAAATGAGTGACAACTCTGATTCTAAATTTGGGGAGCAAGTTTAAGTTTAAAAAGTTTAAATGTATGTAAAATTCTTGGAAAGAAAAAAAAAAGCTATTATAAAAACCATTACAAAAATCAACACATTATAATCCCTTAGTTTTAGTATTGATAAAGTTTGTCTACTGTTTAAATAATTTAAATCACAAGCTGCCTATGTTTACATTTGAATGTGTTGTATTAACATTACTCAGTATTACTTAACATAGGTGCAGCTATATTTAAAACAAAAATTAAATTGCACTGCAGTTGTAATTAGATCATATTGACAGTGAAGAAAAAAATTAACCATTGGTACAGTTTTGTTTTATAAAACTTGACATCAACATATACAATGTGCAATAAGTGGAAGTTACGTTGACATAATCAAAGTAAGGGAACGTTACGTTTTCCTGCGGTTGATGTGGTAATAGATGACAACTTGGATGTACTTGTTCGTACTGATGATGTGGCGCTCTGAATTATCTCCAGGATTTGGAGCCTTAGGGTCAACACTGATAATCTTCCTGTCTCTTTTGTTTTTGAACAGCAGCCCTGATGCATTCTCAGCGATGACTTGGTAGTTGGGTGTTGGGTTTGAAGTGGAGGTTGCAGTCTCCCAGTTGTAGAAACTTAAATCTGATGGTCGGGGAAGAAGCCTCTTCTTTCCACTAAAGTAAGGTTCAAAATCTTCAGTTTTTAGTCTGTATGCATAATCAATGTACCCTGAGATCTCTTGGCCTCTAGAGTTGCGATCTCTTATAAAAATAATTGATGTCATCTTTCTATTTCTGTTTCCTGCTTCTCGTGCAGCTAATGCCAATAGAAGTGGTTCCTTAATGTCTTTGTCATCACTGGCCAGTTTTTTTTGCTGGCTACGCTTTGAAAGTCTGCTAGCTTCTGCTGCTTGCTTTCTGGCTTCAAATTCATCTCGCTTGAGAACCTCCCCACTTCCTCGATAACCAAGCTCCACTAACTGTCTTGCTAGCTCTTGATCCTCAAGATAGTATAAATCAGATGAAAGTATCTGGGAGTCCAGAAAATCCTCATAGGTATTATATTCTGTAACAATGTTGTCACTGCCAGTAGATATTTCCTCTTCCATATTTTCAATTTAGATTAGGTAATGTTTTGAAACAAAGTCACTTCACTACTGACTACAAAAATCCAGTGACTGTTTTTTTTTCTTTTTTTTCCCTCTAGTACGATCAGTAGTCTAGTAATTTATAGGCCGCATTTGCGCGGTTCGCTCCGCGTTTTTTTTTTTTTTTTTTTTTTTTTTTTTTTATATTTTGACAAATTTATTTACATGAGAAGAATATCTATGAATGAACAGTGTATCGCCATAATATACACAATAAAATATAATATGGCAGAAAAAAAACTGTGGGCAAGCGTTATAGCTTATAGTTAAAAAATACATCATTCACAAGGTTTTCGGCAAAATCATATAAAGTATTCGTTTATAGTGCTCACGAATACCACCGTCAGCCAACTTCTCTCACTCCAGTCAGTCAGATATATATAAAAAAAAAATCAAGAAATAGAATGTTTGATCGCTCAAGCATTTACTTACTTCGGCCAGGTGTCCAACATTCACACACGATTGTCTTTGAAGACAATACACATGAATACAGTTTGTTAGAGTTAATAAGAAATTTAATAAATAGAACGGTTACATCTAGGACTTTAAAACGTATTAAACATGCATGGTATTTATGTTGGTAGAAGTTGAATTTGGTAGCTTATTTATATTCTTTTGTTATTGGCAAGAGTTCGCTTTCCTTTAAGACATGTGTTGTCCATATTAATTTCAACATGATATTGTTATTTGTTTACGAAAAAATAATACCAAAGCCTTTGGCTCTCTGGCAACATTGATTAAGCTGAAGTTTTGCTTGTTTACAAAATAAAAACTACAGTAATTAAAGGTTACAGTTTTATAAAAAAGTGAAATAATCATAATTCAAAATAATATGAAATATTAAATACTACACACCAAAGAAGTCATGCATAAACTAGTTAAATAATATAGAAAAAAAAATCATCATTTTTCCAACCATTTTAAAAATACAGTTAAAAATTTAGTAATAACAAAATATGGATTATGTTTCTTATTCTTTTGAAATTTAAGAATGGGAAGTAACTGTTATGAAAAAAAAAACAAGGTAGCTATTTGTTAAAATATTTAAGAAATATTAATTAATTTATTTTTATTTTATTATTATTTTATAATTAAAGATGAAAGACATAAACGTAGTATAACAAATGCAATACGAATGTAGCTGTTGCGTTCCATTATGGCCAGTAATGATAACAGTATATTTTATCTAGTGGTAGAATAATAATCAGGATATAATAGTTTACATCTGAGGGCAAACAAGACCTTAAATAAACAGTGACATTTTTGTCTTTCTCTCTTTATTATGTCTCAGTCTTCTAATCTTTATCAGCGAGCCTCGACGTTGTCCCAGAGGCGTCCGCTGTTACATTACTTTGATCATCATTCGACATATGAGGACTAATGCAGGTTTACAATTTTCAACTATCCTGTGGTCGTTTTTTGTACATAAATATACATATACCTACATATTGTTAAGGATGTTGGTGAGTTTTAATTACGTTTACTGGAGCAAACTGTTCTTCCTGAAAGTAAACGAAAACACAGCGACATCGGGTTTTTAAGGGAGATTGGTGCGGTAAGAAGAAAGGGAATACACAAAAAGGCTGTCTGTGTAAAATGTTGCTCTGGTTTAGGTAGGGGTTGGGATTTTCCTGTAATAGAGCCTGCATTTTAGAAGGGCGGGACAATAATTATAATGTACATTTTTATTTTGTTAAAAAAAAGTATCATTCACTCTATTCAGTTATACCTATTACCTACGACAGTCTTCTTTTTTTTTTATAAAATCGGAATCTCAACATAAATTCAAAGACTTCTAGTTAGGCAACACATGAAATATAGAGAAACATAGAGAAACATAGAGAAACATAGAGAAACATAGAGAAACATAGAGAAACATAGAGAAACATAGAGAAACATAGAGAAACATAGAGAAACATAGAGAAACATAGAGAAACATAGAGAAACATAGAGAAACATAGAGAAACATAGAGAACCATAGAGAACCATAGAGAAACACAGAGAAACATAGAGAAACACAGAGAAACATAGAGAAACATAGAGAAACATAGAGAAACATAGAGAAACATAGAGAAACATAGAGAACCATAGAGAAACAGAGAAACAGAGAAACACAGAGGAACATAGAGAAACATAAAGAAACATAGAGAACCATAGAGAAACATAGAGAAACATAGAGAACCATAGAGAAACATAGAGAACCATAGAGAACCATAGAGAAACATAGAGAAACATAGAGAAACATAGAGAACCATAGAGAAACAGAGAAACATAGAGAAACATAGAGAAACATAGAGAAACATAGAGAAACATATAGAAACATAGAGAAACATAGAGAAACATAGAGAAACATAGAGAAACATAGAGAAACATAGAGAAACATAGAGAAACATAGAGAAACATAGAGAAACATAGAGAAACATAGAGAAACATAGAGAAACATAGAGAAACATAGAGAAACATATAGAATGTGATAAATTGTATCAAGGATGGAGGTGGAAATAAAGGGAGACAATCATTGTTTCCTGCCTGACTCAACAATTACTTGAAGGCTTTCTTTTCGGGAACAAAGCAGCTAGAATAAAAATTGAATAGCTTCCATAAGATTAGTTCTTAAGATTTTAGTACATCAACAAAATAAAATAAAATTGTATGCGTCGGTGTTTTAAGTGTAGTTGGAGAACAAAAGAATGGGAGCGGGTTTGGCTCCTTACCTGGACCTGCATATTTTTTTCCAAAGTAGGGGGAGTACTTACGGTTGCATGACCGTATGGTATGTCCATAAGGTCATGTCCTCTACGTCGATGGTATGTCCACAAGGTCATGTCATCTACGTCGATGGTATGTCCATAAGGTCATGTCCTCTACGTCGATGGTATGTCCACAAGGTCATGTCCTCTACGTCGATGGTATGTCCATAAGGTCATGTCCTCTACGTCAATGGTACAAGTCGGTCGCAGGAGCTCATTATTTCGCGGGTTTTGCTAGACTGTTGATGTAGTAAGTCACGTGTTATTTGTAGTTTTCCTTCATTAGTCCTTAACTACATAATGTTTTGGTTGTCGCTTTTGTGATTGTTCCCTGTCTTATCATCATCAGTTTGGGGTTGGGGGGTAAATATGGCGGTAGGCTGACAAAACAGAGATTTTTCTTGTAAATTGTTGTTGTTCTGTGTTGTTTAAAGTTCATAAAGTCCATTTACAGAGAAAATATTGGAAAGTTCGAAATTTATGACTAAAATGGAATTAGAACTGAGTCTGACCAACAGTTTTTCCATACGGCCTAGTCATCTACAGAGGTGCATGCATAAAAATGGCCAGATAAATAGAAGTTGAGTATCCTAAAATGTATGTTGAAATTACCCTGTTTTTCCCATAAAATACAAATATTATATAAGGAAATACGACTGGTCAGTTTTGACCCATTTCCAGATTTTTCCGGGATATGGCGAGTTTTTTCTGACACCCCTCGGTGTTTTCCTACCACCTCACAAAATTTCAAGGGGGGGGGGTCGTTAGACGAAAGTTTTATAGCCCATATAAGGCGCCGGTCAGTCGATGTCAGTTTTGACCCATCTCCGTGGACTTTTCGACCAACCGTCACCGGCCCTCGTGTTCTATCGCCCCAAGGCACCATCGTGCCAAATTTGACGCGCCTGCGGCGCCGGGAAGTGCCCTATCCGGCACCTAACCACTTTGCTATCCTAATATATAATGGAATTTATTTAAAAAACATATACTTTTACCAGTGTCCGCCCTACCCCCCCGAAACGAAAATATCTAATGGCCCAAACCCCCCACCCCCCCCCCCCGGAGGAAAAAATCTGGAAGAAACAGTTTAAGCGATATAGGAAGACTATATAATCAGTAAAACATGTAGGCTATGTGCACTAACATATATGTGTATGTTTCATCAAAGTAATTGTTTTTACGTAATACAGAAAAGAAAAAAAAACAGGAAAATTGTTGCAAGATTTGCATTTTGTAAGTTCGTCAAACTTATCCACATCTTGGCCGCCTTTCCATAGATCATGTGGTGAATCTTCACTTAACAAATCCTCTACTGAATCATTTAACATTTGTACTCATTGTAGTATGTTCCAACAACACAGTATATTTATATGTACTTTTGTTTTCCCAATGCTCGACTATCTTTCGCCCTGTGAATTTAATTTTTTGATTTTCGTAAAAAGAAGTTTTATTTAGAACAACTGATCATAGCACGCAGATCTATAAGAAGATCTATGTAGAGAATGTGTACACTAAATATTTTTAGACGAATCAACCATAAAATATTGTATGACAGTATGCGTCGGTAATGTAATTTCGTAGTTAGACGTTGTGTGTATGTACCGTGCACAGCTTTACTTTTACTATATATTGATGTCAATTATTTACATTTGGAATTGAGGCAAGTCTCTTCAGTTTCTTAATGACTCTTCTATACTTCTAATATTTCTAAATCAAGTGAAACTATTTTAAAACCGTCAAGAAAAGATTTGCATTTAAAGCGTATACTTTTTATGCAAAAATTGTTCTTAATGCCAGTTTATTCCTGTTATCTAATTTTTTTTTCTTTTTTTATCATACCGTCGGTGTAAACAGGTAAGGTCTTTCCGTGGTTGTGTTTAAATGTCGAGTTTTACTCATTTAAACCTGTTCTCTTCTTTCTGTTTTTGTTACTCTGCCTTGATGTGCTATAATGTATTCAATGACTTTTATATACCTATGTTTAAGAAATCTTGCATGAGTGTCTTCAAACCTTCTCAACTCCATCCCGTCGTATAGTCTAACGCTAGTTTAACAGAGGTAAAGCAATACCTCATGGAACAAAAATACATCCATTAAGGCACAGCTGCTTTTTAATTGTGGAAATTATAGACAAAAGACTATTCAAATGTATCCGTGTATATGTTCTCAGATTCAGATGCTTTTTTCTTAGTTATAAAAATAAACACAAAACTCTATACTTAAAAACAATTAATTTAAAAAATTAGAAATATTTTTACATG